GCTTCGTGTTTATTTTTTAATAAATAAACATAGCTATAGCGAGTGCTATCATCGATAAAAGTAATAAAATATTTATTACCGCCACGTGTTTGTATTGATTTAAAATCACAAACGTCACTATGAATTAATTCAAGTGGCTCCGTTTTTCTTTCAACCGATTTGAAAGACGTTTTCGCTAGTTTTGCCTCTACACAAACTCCACATTTGTGATTCACATCAATTGTGAATTTAGGAATGTGTTCCATGTTAATTAATCTACGTGTAGAATTAAAATTAACATGTCCTAGTCTATCATGCCACACATTGGAAGACTCAAGCAAGTAAGCAGAAGAGATTTTATTATTATTATTATTATTAATAGTCATTACATTGAGCTTAAACAGCCCATCAACTGCATACCCCTTCCCCACATACATTCCCGATTTGGACAAAACTAGTTTGTCCGACTCAAAGACCATGCGGAACCCATGCTTGTTCAACAAAGAGCCCGAGATCAAGTTTTTGCGTATCTCCGGGACGTTCAACACATTGTTGAGAGTCAGCTCCTTGCCCGAAGTCATCTTCAGGACCACCTTGCCCATGCCTTCAACCTCGGAATGAGCAGAATTCCCCATCCACACCTTCTCACCGTTTGATGGCTCAAAGGTTGTGAATAGCTCCCGGTTAGAGCAAATGTGCTGGGTTGCACCGGTGTCCACGAACCACTCCTTGGAATTGCATCCAACGAGGTTGACTTCAGTAACCACAGCCGCTAGGATGATGTCTTCATCCTTTTGCCCACCTTGCACCAAGTTGACTTGGGAGTCTTTCTTCTTCTGTGGTGCCTTGCAATCCGAGGACTTGTGTCTATTCTTGTTGCAATTGAAGCATTTTCCATTAAATTTGGGTTTGGAAACGCCTCCCTTGGGACCGAGCTTGCTCTTCCCATTATTTTTATTTTTGGAGCCTTTTGCATGCTCCACCACATTGGCCTTGGCGCCGCTAACGATTGGGAGTCTCCCATCGTTCTTCCGATTATCCTCTTCAATCCGCAGACGGAGGATCAACTGTTCCAAGTTCATTTCCTTTCGCTTATGCTTAAGGTAGTTCTTGAAATCCTTCCAAGCCGGCGGCAATAAATGGATAATTGACGCCACTTGGAAAGACTCACTAACCGTCATTCCTTCATCTCGAATTTCGTTGAAGATCATTTGCATTTCTTCAACTTGACTCAAGACCGTCTTCGAATCCACCATTTTAAAATCAAGGAATCGACCGACAACAAATTTCTTTGCACCGGCATCCTCGCTCTTATATTTGTGGTCCAAAGCATTCCATAGCTCCTTAGCCGTAGCTAATTTACTATACACGTCGTACAGAGTATCATGCAGCCTGTTCAACACGTAGTTTCGGCAAAGGAAGTCAGAATGCTTCCAAGCCTCAACCGCGTTGAAAGATTGCGCATCCACCTCACCCCCGGTTACTACCGGCGCATCCTCGGTCAAGAAACGTGCAAGACCGAGAGTAGTGAGATAGAAGAGCATCTTTTGCTGCCACCTCTTGAAGTTTAACTCATTAAATTTTTCGGGTTTCTCCACAGAGTTGCTCGGCACGGTCACCATAGGGATAGCCCTTTGGTTAACCAAAGCAGATGCACCGCGTTGTGAACTATTGTTCACCGGAGCTCCACTTTCAGAGTGATTATCGTTCAAACCGTTCAAAGCATTCTGCCCAACAACATTTTCATTTTCTTGAGAAGTCATTTTCGTTTCTTACGTTATTCGAAAACACAAAAAAAAAACAAGTTCGTTCACCAAGGTGACAAACTACAAGTTTAAGATTGTTTACCGTAGTAGAACAATCAACAAATACGTTTTAAGATTGTTGGGTGTGTTTCGAAAAACAAAGAAAATTAATTAATAAAGATTAATTAAATAAAATGACTTAAAGAAAAACAAGAAATGAGATGAAGCAGAATAAGCCAAAGCTCGTGCTACGCACGATTTCCTTAAAACGTATTCGTTGCCTCCCGGGGTGCTAGGAGCGTTGCAACGATCGTTTCCCAGGATACGATGACTTCGAACAATAGTTTAGCACTCAAACTAAAGTTCCAACGAACGTGAACAAAAGCAGAACACCGAAGGAGTTTGTATGGAGTGCTAGAGGTGCTGTTTTAGCTATGAAAATACGTGAACGAAGTGTATGAAAAGTTGTCTCTTTGCAAAGCACCTACTAGCCTTTTATAGGGGTGGATTAAGGTGTGTTAATGGTTGTTTAAGGGTTATGATCGTTGGACATCAATGTCCTAAACGTTGGGCATTGATTCCAGTCCTTAAACAACCCAAAACGTTCATATGAACGTTAATATAAACGTTATCTTTAGAAGATAGGTTTTCGGAAGGCATTCGTGTGTGCAGGTCGCCCCGCACACGCAAGTCGCGGTTTTTGTTCTTCGGTTTCGGGATTTGATTCGCACACCCCCTGCGCGCGTGAGAGAGCCTTTCCCTTTAGGAATCTTAACTCCTTAGGGGGGGGGGGTCCCTTTATAAAGGGTTCAAATTCCCTTGTGATTTTCGGTGTGGGAAAGAACCCACACTAAAACCCACATTTTCCTAGTTTTCTCCATTCCAACGGGTAAACTTCGAAAAACAATTTCTCATTTACCCGTTATCCGTTTTGAATGTACCATATATCGAATTGTATCCCTTAGCAAGGACAATCCGAAACCACTTTGACCCGACCCAAATCGGAAGTGGACCCCACTCAAATAATTGCCCCAAAATGACCATTTAATACACTTTTAACACACTTTTTTCAACATTAAATTGGGCAGCTGAGATAACACCATTCTTGGAAATTCTCTATGGAGACTATGTCTCCAAACACCCAGTAAAACTCTTCCTGTATGTTAGAACACACACATGTAAGCACCATTTTCTACCAATCTTAGTGAATTCCATTCTTAGAGTGAATGCCATCACCTCAGTTGTGTTAAGCAAAGCATTCACGGTGGATATGGTTGCATTCCCACTTAGGATGTCATCCCCACTTTCATCACCTTGTGTGGTTTGTGTGACAGTCGTTCCCATCATATTGTCATCACCGTCACCCGGAAATCTGCGACCATTAGATTTTAGGAGCTATTTCTATATTCGAACTTTAGAGTTGAATAAAGTTACTCGCTTATGAAGTCCAGAAACTCGGACGTTATGCCATTAATGATCAGCTTTGACACATCAAAAGAAGATGACACAGATAGAGCACCTAAAATTTACAATTGTTTTAGTCGAAAAAATAATCATACTGCCAAAACAAAATAATGGAAGAAAATTCCTCATACCCTGATATCTTTTCGGCCTGCAAAGCTGAAATATTATATAAATCGCTTCATCAAGATGCTGGATAGCGTAATCCATGTACTGGGTTATATATTTATTCCACAACACACAACCAAGTCTGTTGCTTCTGTTGTTATGTAGATATGTATGCAAAGTTTTGGATCATCGAAAGCGGTTTGATTAGTCACTATTAGTGTTAGGATACACATTTGTTGAAAAAATATTAACATAGTGAGGGTCACCCAATGTTAGCTCCATCAATCTTTCAACTTTTCCATTGATGATGTGTGTTTGAACGATGCTTCTGCATACGACCTTACCGATCACATCTGTAATGTAAAAAGTCAGCATATTCACTACTCTATGTCGAGGCAAAAATACTTAATGAAATAAATACCCCTACCAATGAGATGTTTGTCATTGATCACTCTTTGCTCTTGAAGCAACCCACAATGTTGAAAGTCATACAAAAACATAGGTAGTTCAATCTTGTCTTCCCTGAATACAGTCTTGTTTATGAACTGGATTAAATAAGGATGTGCAGTTGTTTTCACTGTTTGGTAGTTGTCCATGACCAAAAAGTTCCTAAGTGCGTACACATGGTGTTCTTTGATCAATGGTCTATACATTGCTAGCTGCAGCCTCTTTACAGTTGTGTGAATTCGATCCCCCTATAAAGAAATTTGTAAAAAAAATTCTTTGTAAACATGTAGTTGAATCACAATGTTTCAGGTCTTTACCTCTGCATCATGCAGCACCATCTCAAGGGTCTCTCCACCCTTGGAATGGGGAGGAACCTCGTAAACTCGTACAACTCTTACCCTCAACGCCCAGGTGATCTTTGTGTGATCAATGTCTTTGATCAGGGACCACATTCCGGTCTGGGTTGATGAACATGCCATTGCAGCAGATGGGGTGCTCGTTTACTTGTGAATTGCTCGGTGGTGGTGTGGTTTGAAACCCAATTCGAGTGTATTTATAGGTGGTGAATGGTGTGGTTTCTCAAAAACAAATATGTTATTGACCATTGGTCCATTAACAAAATCTTTTCTAAAGATTTTATAGTATACATTTTAAAACGTGCAGTCCATCTTTGATGTACCAACTCTTCGAAAAGATATTTAAATTCAGCCATAAAGATTTTTGAATGACAATTAAAGATTTTGAAGCACACACTAATTAATTCGAAGTGACCCTGACCCATTTTTTAAAATTAACCTTGGTCCTTTCTTCTCCATTGTAAAACGTGCAGCCCATCTTTGATGTACTTTTTATTGAGCCTCACAAATGCTTTATTGATCATTAGGCATGCATTTAATGCCAAACAATTTCAGCCGTAGTAGCTAAGCAAATTCTCCAAATTCAAAGAACAAAGCATTGAATATGCTGCCAGACCCGACCCGCCACGCGTGAGACCCGACTCGCCTGTTGATTGAACGTTTTTGAGCGGGAATTCTGGGCAGTTTTTCTCATATTGTTGTATAATAGAAGATGTTGATACCTAACCTTCCCATGGTACAAATTTTGGTCAATTAACTTTTTGACCAACCTCTAAATTCATACTCCTATGATCTTTTTCCCCAAATTATGATTCCACCTTCCCAAGACATGGTTAAAAGTAAAAAACTTCACCAATAGCGTCTGAAAGGAAGAACTTCCCTGGCCCCACCCCTCCCATCCAACCATCAATCCATCTTCTTTTACCCGCCATCAATCAAGCTTTTTTGATTTTTTGTCTCAAACTTCCGATAAGACGACACTCTTATGATGCAAATGAGCAGGCGGATGACAGTTGCTGTCCTTGTTGTTCCTCCCCCCTCCCGGATCTCCTAATTTAAATGGGCCGCCGGAGTCATCACCGCCGCCACCGCTTGTATTCTCCCTTTGGCTCTCCGTCGATCTTCGTTTTATCCATATTTTTGATACTGTCATTCTCTTATTTTTCTGTTGTCAAAGTCAAAGGTAACCGCACCCAGGCCCAAGCTTCTGTCACACCTCTCAATCTCGATCTTTATCATACGAGGTAATTCCTAATTTATTCCACGCCAATTACTTGAAAATTTTCATGTTAAACTTGAACATCAGTGGCACCCTTTTAAGATCCAACTATGAACCTTTACCTTTCGGTATTTGTGAGGACGTTGATGCCTGTTTTATTCGCTGTGGTATATTCTAGTTGCATAAAGGACACATACTAGAATGTTAGTGGCGTTATCTAGTTGTATGTTAGTATGTTACTGTTATTTACTGTTGCATATTCTAGTATGGGCCATGAACTCATCATAAAGAATGAGTGATCAAGAATGTGATAAATTTAGGAAAATGTAAACATACTATAACAACAACATCCAAGCCTTAATCCCAAAAGCTTTTAAGATCCATGATATCAAAGCCAAAAGAGAAACATTGTATCACATTATAAAATTTAATGTAAGTATCTTTGAGCATTAGATATACTCATTGTTTGCTTCTCATAATGTGCCCATGAGCACACTATAGGAAAACCCTGTGTATACCGGTAACTTGACCTCTTGACTAATTAGGAAAGGCTGCATTTTTTCACCTGTACAAGTGGGTGAATCTGTGTTTGACAATGCTAATTAAGGAACTTTTTTAGTGCTTTCTTTGCATTGATAATATACCCATTTGGTTTTTGTGTACTCAGTGGAGCTTTGCTGGAAGAAATAGAGGCATTGGTGCATCGACACCCAGACAGACTCTCTGTTAGTTTTTATATTTTTCTAACTTGCTTGTTCGTTGTCGTTCTGTCTACGGATTAATCATGGTTTATGCAGATCAAAACCATTTCTAGTAAGAATAAAGGGTACCATGCTGATACAACTGTAGTTACATACTGCCAGAATTTGAAAGACTGTGACTATAGATCAAAAGTTAGAATCCTCCTCGTAAGTATTATTCTCTGTAGCGCTTTTTCATTATTAGATATGACTTGTACCCAGTAATCTTTAGTCATTACTCAGTATAGTTTTCACAGTAAAGAGAGTCAATCAAAGAGAAAAAAGGAAGGAAGGAATAAACCAAATAGTGATGCATGTAATTTAGATAAATACGATGAATTTGTTATACATTTTATTTTATTAGACAGTGTGAGAAATTCTCAGATTGTTTATTCATGCTATTTTCATCAGATAATTACTTGTGTTCCAGAGTTTTGGACAGCATGGGAGGGAGCTCATAACAACTGAGCTTGCACTACGGATTCTTTCTATTTTAAGTGAGGAAGAACTCTTACCAAAGGGATATCCACTTACTCTCAATAACCCTTTAGAAAAGCTTGTTATAAAGGTAAAATCTATATCTTAATAGTTCATAGCAATTGAAATCCACTTCAGATACTTAACCACATGATTATGATTTTTTTTTGTGTCTTCCTTGAAATATCCTTCCCTTTATCATGTTCTCAGGTTGTCCCAGTGGAAAATGTAAATGGCCGTAGACGTGTTGAAAAGGGGGATCTCTGTGAAAGAAGAAATGGTCTTGCAGTATTTTTTTTCTGTGTATGTAGATAAAGCAATTGTTTGTGAAATATATATGACAATATTGCACACGTTTTCAGGAAGAGGAGTTGATCTCAATCGGAATTGGAGTGTAGATTGGGGCAAAAAAGAGAAGGTTTGTTTGATAATATGTTGCTACTTCATACGTAGTATTAAATGTTTTATTTTGCTTACCTACTCTCTATTGGACTATCATAAGCCCTTTCTCTTTGCACACTCCATATATTTCTTATTACACCCAAATTACCATATTTTAGCTCACCTTTAATCCATATTGCCACATTGGTAAGAGATTAATATAGAGAAAATTACTAGGATTATGACTTAAAGAAGTGGTAATACCTAAAATATGACTAAACAGTTTTTCATTCCTAAACCAATGGTGTTTTGCATGTATGGTACGTGTTTTTATGCTACTTTTCTCCCTTCAATTTAATTATTACTCATATATAGATATGTTTATGTTTATTAGTCATATATTTGGAATCTATGAATGTTTTAGTCATGTATATATAAATTTCCCATTAATATATTCTGAAAATGGAAATTGTCTTTTTGTGTGAAGTAACAAGAAGCAGATACTATCTTTCTCTCTCTACAATCACGGTGATGCAATCTTAGTGTATTGCTGAAGTCCAGACGTTAAAGTAGTTTTGCGTTGATGTATATGTTCCGAGATATGGCTATTTCTGTTAGAGAAGTCACTGCGCTGATCTAAAAATTTCCACTCTTCTCCAGCATGAATTTTCTGTTTTTGAGCTAAATACGATGATGCAAGTGAAGATCGAACTGTTGCGCTTCCACTGCTGGAGACCGCAAAAAGTAGTGGGTGATAAGGCCCTACAGAATCAGATTCTGATAACCACATCCCCCCCACTGTCTGGGTTAGTGAAGTGAGTTGGGATAAACTGAATTAACAAGGGTATTTTTGTTGAAGAGAAGTGAGCTAGGAAATTGACTGGTTGCTCAAAGTAACACCCTCATGAATTTCTTTCATGCCACGCGACACATTATCTATGCTATTATTCTGGTTTGAAAATGGAAACAGTTGAAACATTTCCTTTACTCCGTATTTACTAATAATGTGTGTTTTTTCTTAACTATACAAAAATCCCCATCTAGGTCCGTGTTGGCCTCCCTTGACTGCCTCCGGTTTTTCTAGTATGCATCATTTACAATTATAATGTTATGGTTATATTTGCTAACCACCCACTCTCCCCACTTCTTTCGATCTCTTAGGATTATGATCCATATGAAGAAAATCCTGGGACTGCTCCCTTTAGTGAGCCTGAGACTCAGATAATGCGTAGATTATCTGCAACATTTGAGCCACACATATGGGTTAATGTGCATTCTGGGATGGAGGTAAGTTTTGATCTTATTGCTATAATAATACTGTTTTTCCTGATTTTCTACAGACCTGATTTGCTTTCTTGCTATAATACTATTTTTTAATCCCGGGCATCCCTCAAAATCAGCAGTTCAAAGACCAGGGAACCCTTTTCAATTTATATTAATTCATACGTAGTAATATAAAAAAAATACTCAAGAAGAGATAGGGCAGACTTGTTCTTGATAGAGACTACAGGGATCCCCGACTTGACCTTGTCAAAGCCTTATGATTATGCTTGGAGTTGTATGATACAAAAAATTAATGAAGTTAAGCCCCTATTTATACTACCCACAAATCTTGGTTAATAAGTAAATAGAGCCCTAACCTATTAGAATAGATTCTTGTTAGTAATATTAACTAAAGTACAATATCTTTACTAAAATGAAACTATTGCTAATAATTATAATAAGAAACTAATACTTACAGTAAAACATGATCTTATGCTCATACATAATGTTAGTGCTTACCGAGCATCATGGAAAATGTTGATGGAAAAGGGAGCATTTTTTGGGATTCCTTGTGCTGTGATTTACATTGACTTAATGCCTGAAGAATTGTGGGGATCAAGCAAGTTTCTTTTAGATTCACACATGGGTATTGCACTTGATGAGAAAAAATCACCAAAAAGTTAAAACTTTCACCATGTATAATAGAATCTGAGAAATAGACAATATCTTTATGCATTTCTTCACAAGTGCTACTTTTTTCATCATGTCTGCTTAACTGCTTTTTCATTCTATGTTTTAGTAAACTATATCAAATTGCTAGTAATCATCTTATAAGAACCTGTTTGTGATATTCGAAATAATTCTTCTCTTTTTAGGCCCTATTCATGCCATACGATCACAAGAACACCACTCCAGATGGGTTACTCTCCCAGAGGATGAAATTGATGCTTGAAAAGCTTAATCATTTTCACTTGAGCGACCGCTGTTTGGTTGGATCCGGTGGAGGCTCTGTAGGGTCTGTATCATTTGGACAAACGATTCAAAACAAAGAACTTTGCTGGCATTAGTTATTCAAGTACTAGTGTGGAAATGATCCTTGAAAAAATTACTAATTGATTCTGGAAAGATCAATTTGTCTAAAATAGGAAAAAATGTTTAAGTATCATTACTTCAATGTTTACTTCAACCTATATGTTCCCATGCTTATTCCCCCCACATTGTACAGGTATCTAGCACATGGGACTTCAACAGATTACATGTATGATGTCGGGAGGGTGCCTATGACTTTCACATTTGAGGTCTGTACCATTGTTTACCTTTTAAGAGGGCAAGTTGTGGACTACATAGACTCAAATACATGCATACTAATCAACTACAAGTATAGTGATGAAGAGTGCTTTGGAATTTAGATCCTACAAGGCTTTGGAATTGAATGACTAAAAAATTAAGTTGAAGACTTGTACTTCTCACTTTTGCTGGTTAAGTTATTTTTACTTTACTTTTCATTGATAATCCACTTTTTCTGTTCAAAATCATACCCAACAGAACCGTAGCCTCTTTTATAGCTAACATATCTTAGTCCTGCAAGATCCTTGATAGTCTCCATGTTTTCTAAGTCTTGTTGTCGTCTTTCTGGTATATTGGCATGTACTCCCTCCGTCCCGCTAACAATGGGACAAGAGGGAGTGGCACGCAAATTAATAAAAAATGAGTTATGTGGTTGATATTAAATTGATAAAGTAAGAATAAAGTAAAAATGATTTAGAGCCACACAAACTTTACCAAATTTGGTATGGGACAATCTTAGTGGGACGGACCGATAAGGTAAAACGGGACAATCATAGCGGGACGGAGGTAGTATTTTTTTCGTGATCAGGGACATCCTTACTCCTTACTCCTTAGATAGGCGGATAGATTTTACAAATATAGATGAAAATCCATTTAGTTGTGTGCAACATAGGAAAATTGGGTTCTGCTAGAGCAACTCTTTTTCCATGTAATAAGTTCACCTGTCTTCCATATAGGCAAAAAAGCAGTCTCAATCTCTATATGCAAGTTGTAGCAGATAAGTTCACTCTCCAGATTAGAATTTTACAGAACACTGATATTTGTATTAAAACTACAGATGCTAAGGCCAGGTAAATAGAGTTTTTGACTTTTTGCTCCCTATTTTTCCAACTTATACTCCTAGACCACAGAATGCTTGTACTTGGTTGACGAAAATATGAAGCTATAAAATTGATCATATTTATCTGCCAAATAAATCCCAACGGATCTAGCCTTGATTCATACATTTTATATAAATCTCATGGAAACAGTGTTTCAAAATTTTAAGACACTTGTTCAAGTTTCATATTGGTGGCTACCATACTTATATCCTTTTACTATGTGCTCACTGATAAGCAGATTTATGGGGATCCTGCAGCCTCATCAAAGGATTGTTTTAAGATGTTCAATCCCACTAGCGTGACCACTTTCAATGTAGGTCATCATGTTTGTAGTTGATCTTAATTTCCTCACTTTTCTACTATCAATCATGGGTTTTCACTTTTCAGTCTAACATGAATTACTTCTAATCATAACAACCTATCAGAAATTTCTTATGGAACTTTTATTTTGCAGAGAGTTCTGAATGATTGGTCTGCTGTGTTCTTTACATTGTTCAGTATCAGCGCACACCAGATTGAAGAATTTCATTCAAACGATTCAACATCTAGTAGTTTCAAGAAGTGGGTTTCCATTGATGACTACTTGAATGGTTATCTAATGGAAAGAAAAAGCAGGTATGGGAAAAAGATGGAAGTGCTTGATCTGGGAATGCAAGAAATCAGGACGTATTTTAGACTGTTCTTGTTATCATCGGTGCTACTGCTGTTTATGTTTTGTTCTAGGATCTCAAAGAACAGTAGGCAGATAGTCTCTGCTATGTCCATTTGATCGGTAGAAAAGAAAATTGTACTCCTTCCATCCCATAAAAAGAGTCCTGTTTGATCAAATGAAGGTAATATTTGTAGAACTTTTCCAATATATAAACAAACAAGTTTAAATGTTTAAAACAATAAATTTATGCCAGACAAGACAAGACTTTTTTTCACGCATTTGTACAGTTGTACACTTGTACCTTGGCAAAACTAAAATGTTGTGCCTTGGCCAGACAAGAGAAGACTTTTTTTAAAAAGGAGTACTATAAGAAAATCTTGGCGAAAAAGACAGGGACCTAAGGATTTATTTTCCAGTGTAAATATTAGCTTTTTAAACTTTCTGTTTATATCCAATTGCCTTGCTATACTTTTCCAGGAAATCTGATACAGGAAGTCCTGATGATTGTATTCAGCCGTGTAATTCATCACATATATATTTTTTTTTTAATTTGCTTTGGGCTAATTGTCTTGTTTATAGTGCTGTGAAAGAAAATGGATTGGACTGCCGTCAGGCATTTATATTAAACTCCTTTGGGACTTTTTATACGTTTGACTTTGTTTTTTGTTGTCCAATTATTTATGCTTCTCTTAGGAATAATTTCATGGACTTACTTTTTGGAGGTTTCCTATAATATTACTATAATAAAAAACTTATTGACAGAAACGTGACTAATTATTATAACTTCATGTTAATCAAGTACAAACTGATACTAAAGTTACTTATGTAGTCACTTTATACTAGAGATCACATTTTTGTTTATTTGAATAGGGATGTTTATGATTAAGTCACCAGAGGCACAGACCACTTGTTTATGATTCAGCACACCCACCCAAATAGAGTTTAATAGTTTATCATTAAATAGATGAGAGTTGTCAATGTTTTTACTTTTCACACCTTGTTTTGGATTTCCTATCGAGGTGTCATGTGCCTTCCTATTCACCCAACTTATGTTCACAACAATTCAAATGAGTCGCAAAACAATGTCAAATAACTTGTGGGTTTGTGGTTCCTGAATAGTGAATACTGGACCTGTAAGAGTAATGGTTCAATGGGACAAATTTACAGTAGTACAAATTAAATTAGACTGTTTATATCCAGAAAAAGCGTATTAATTAATATTGCAACACTTGAAATCATACCACATTACTTGAAGTCTTGAAGCAAACAAGATTAACAAAATGGAAAACATATATTATTATCTGCACGACTGCACTCTATCTTTTCGTTAAATCTAATTCATGAAGCAATATATTATTGATTCACATAAGCCAGTTAGGGTTGGACTCGGGCCAGGTCGGGCCCGGGCTGGCGGTTCTATATAGCTGGACCCAGGACCGGCCCGGGTAGCCACCGGGTCCGGGCCGGGCCGGGCCTCGGGTTTGGTTAATTTTTTTTTTTTTTGCTTAGCTACCCATCCCTGACCCCCCCCACCCCCCAAACCCCTCCTAAACATCAAGCCCAACCCGGTGGAGCCCAAACAAATAAAAAAAACCAAAAAAAAAAAATTGGCCCGAACCAGGCCCGGGCCCGGCCCGGCCGGGCCTTGTTATGGGTGACCCGAGCCCGGACCGGAAACCCACCGGGTCGGGCCTACCCGGACCGGTCACTGACCGGGCCACCGGTTCGGGCCGGGCCAGTACCGGTCCCGGGTCAGGCCACCCGGCCCGAGTCCAACCCTAAAGCCAGTGTATACATCAATTGAGCTGATTTAAATTAATACGAGTACTAATTTGAATATCCCATACAGAAGAGCATCTTTATGAAACAGGTTAGAATGTTAGATTGAACCTGTTTTTTCACTATATCCAAATCTTTATGAAACTTATTATTGACTCGCGTAATTCAATGTATACATAAATTGAACTGTTTATAACCGGTAACAATTTGAGCGTACAGTAATACAATGAAGGCAAAACAAGCATTTTCAGAAGGCAAAAGTGAAACAAATTTGATCATATCATACTTATTATTGTTGGCGTCTGAGCTTGGCATACAATGTCTTAAAAATCAGAGCCACATGAGAAAAACGAATACAGGTCAGACAGGCAGAGATGTCTGGTGTATCCTTCAACGGAATCTAGGAAGGGTGTCCACCCATGTCTGACAATATCCCAATAAATAACTTAACAGAAACCAAAATCTTGAAAGAATGAAATTAATGAATAGCAGACAAAACACATTCTGTTACACTGGAGCATAAATGAATCACAAACAAATATGCTAGAACCACTGCAGAGAGCCTAATGGAAGCATTTGGTATTGATTTTGGCCGGTTAACTACGATGAAGAGGGAGGAAGTTCATCGTTGAGCTGCGGTGAAGAAGGATGTGGCGATGTTGGACCAAAATCCATACTTGGAAAAACACCAGGCGGCCTTTCACGGGGCTGGATGGACAGTAATTGGTTTGAGTCACCAACCACATCTGCCCATCCGTAATGTGGCTCCGCCCTTCAATCAAAAGTAATAAGCATAAGAAAACATAAATATACCACATAGATGTTTGCTATTCATTTGATTATTTGTGACAAGGGCCCATCTTACTCATAATAAGTTTCCTCATCTACAACTATGTCCCAGCTTTCACCCGTCGTGCTCTTGCCATATTTGTGTACTTTACTGATACATAGAAAAAACAAGGTGTTGAAGATTTAAAACACAGGCAAGAAAATCACTGATGTATATGTTTCAGTTATGTAACTTATGCATATCACAGAAGTTTAGAATGTTCAGCAAGGAGAGAAGTAATTGCGAATTACCCATTCCCAAAGTGTTCCTCTCCCCATGTTCTTGACCACCCTGAAGAAAATGAAAAAATAAATGTTCAACATTCTAGACTATAACGGGATGAGAGATCAGTACAGGTTTAGGGGATATTTGGTTCAGGGGTTTTGGAGGAAGGGTAGGGGAGGATTGATTTTTGTTTGATTAACTTGTCTTATTTTATGTGTCTTACATTGAAAATAGTAATATGTTGAATTACTTAATTTGTATCTATATAAAATTTCATCTTCATTTTCCTTTCAATCTAAATGTGATATTAAATCAAAATAAAATAAAAATTTACTCCTCCCTTCCCTCTCCTACAATATCTCTCAATCAAACAAGGTCTTAACTCTTAAGAATGCATATGGCTACAATTGGCTAAAATACTTTGGGAAATAGACCATATATGACTGTTCAATTCAGAACTGTTCATATCAAGTTACTGCAGAATGGTTGTTCAAGAAGATTGTCTGTTAAACAAAATTCTCTAATTTACTTATAAATGTATACTGAACTATTTCCTGATCACGCTTTAGTGTGCAGCTTTAAAGTAGTTATGGCCTGAGCATATAATACGAAGTTAAGAGCTAAAAGTGGAATGGCTTTGTCCGAAGGAATGATTTTCGCCAATTATTTAGTAAAGAAGGATTGCACCTACGGTCACCACTAGGTGATACATGCCAAGTTTCTCCCTGCCGTGACCCAATGCTTGCAAAGAACTTTTCTTCCCATTTATCACCCCATTTTGTTCCCAGAGCGGTCTCTGCCCACTTATCTGTCCTGAGATAAAGCAATAAAATCAAATTAGTTCATCTTGACCTAATGAACTCTGTTAATATGGATACAATCAATCAATTCTCTCAATGATTGAGGAGGAAAAGCAAGGAAGGGAACTGCTAATAATTTCTCAAAGGGCAAAGGATGAAGTGGTAGGTACACAAAAAGCACATATTCATTTATGTAGTACTTTCACAAGTTGAATTTCATTTCACTAAGCATGTAGATGTAAAAAGAGGTCATGCAATGTTAAGTCAAGCAAGCTAAGAAAAGACAGTTTGAACTGTGCTAGACTGCTAGTCAGTTACACTACTAGCTTCCAGCTAGTCATAGAACAAGAGATTACGTTATAATCAATAGACACCAAAGTAAACCTTCAGACAAAACATATGCAGCAAAACAAAAGCAAGTAGTAAATATTTAGAAGTGTTTTGTGAGCCAATGTGTGAATACAATGTAAACAAACTACCATTTCAGAACAGATCCTCTTCCATCATAATGCTCTCCCCACTTCTCCCACCATGATTGTTCATTTAATCTACCATACTTATGTGCACCTTTCTCTGTCCAACCCTTAGCATCATATTTTTCCCACCTGCATAGATAATAAATAAATTGCATCACTTATTTAATGCAAGGCATTCAAATGAGGTGTTGAAATATAAACTAGAATAATATTGAAAAGTGGAGGAAAGATTTTCTATATATTTCATTGGAGGGTTAAGGCCCTATATATACATTACAAAGATAGAATATTCCTTTAAGATTCTATACAATAATAATATCCTAGAGTATATTCCTAAAATATTCTAAAGATAGAAGAATATTCTAAAGCATATTCTAAAGAATATTCTAATGTCTTTACACTCCTCCTCAAGTTGGAGCATAGATATTTATCATGCCCAACTTGTTACATAAGTAACCAACATGAATTCCATTTAGTGCTTTAGTGAACAAATCTCCAAGTTGCTCTCCAGTCTTCACATATCCTGTAGAGATCAATCCTTGTTGTATCTTTTCTCGAACGAAGTGACAATCGACCTCAATATGTTTTGTTCTCTCATGAAACACTGGATTGTTGGCAATGTGTATAGCAGCTTGGTTATCACACCAAAGTTTAACAGGCATTGGTGTCTTCAATCCCTTTTCACTCAATAAATGGTTTATCCAGATTATCTCACATGCCGATTGTGCCATAGCCCGATATTCTGATTCAGCACTTGAACGAGAAACCACATTCAACTTCTTACTTTTCCAAGAGACGAGATTACCACCAACAAAGACGCAATAGCCAGATGTGGATCTTCTATCATCTTTAGATCCAGCCCAATCAGCATCTGCAAAACATTCTATTCTCATGTGATTATGATTTTCATAAACAATTTCTGGTGTCCCCTTCAAGTAACATAATATATGCTCTACAGCTTTCCAATGATCAACTGTCGAAGATGACATGTATTGACTTACTACACTCACTGAGTACGCAATATATGGATGAGTAACTGCGAGATAATTAAGTTTTCCAACCAACCGTCTATATCTTTCCGGATCTTCGAATGGTACACCTTCATGAGTGAGTTGCACATTGGGAATCATGGGAGTATTGCTCGGTTTTGCCCCAATTTCCCTGTTGTAGTTAGTAAGTCAAGCACATATTTACATTGAGATAGAAATATGCATTTCTTACTCCGTGTAACCTCAATCCCCAAGAAGTATTTCAATGCGCCCAAATCTTGTCTGGAATTGACTATGAAGAAAATTCTTTAGGGCCAAAATACCTGCATTATCACTCCCTGTAATCACAATATCATCGACATATACCACAAGCAATGTGATACCTGCTTTTGTTCGTCTGTAAAATACAGTGATCTGATTTGCCTTTTATCATTCCAAATCGTTCAATTGATTGGCTGAATTTCCCGAACCATGCACGAGGAATTTGTTTCAAACCATAAAAGGACTTGCGAAGTCGACAGACTTTCCCATACTCCCCTTTAGCAACAAACCC